GAAATTAAAAAAATCGTGGTAAATAATATGCTGAAATAATACCTAAAACCGAAAGACATTCAACTGGAATGGTAAAAATTTTTCAATAAAGCTACTGGATAATAGCATCCACAAAGTCGAGCCAAAAACGCTAAATAAAATATAAATAAATGAAACTTGAAAATAACGTAAGTGATGTTTGCTGAAAAAAAAATGGTTGGAAAACGCAAATAACAGGGGTGTTTTGTATTGTATCGAACCTCCACATGGTAGCGATCCAACTAAGGATTTTGATTCTAGTGGGGACCGGTCCTGTTTAAGGGAAAATTCTAGGTACTAGACATCCCCGACTGCCTTCAACCTATCTTTTTGATATAATATAAGGCATCCTCCGAATAATTCAACGAAGCAATTGTCGCGGCTGCTGACACGGAGTTAGTCGGAGCTTCTTCCTCTAGTCCTGTCGTGATCGCACACTCGACGAGCTTTACAAGTGGTATTGTCCTTCCTCACTCATGCGATATTACTGGATCGGGCTTTCGCCCATTGTCCAAATTTATGTGTTGCCGGAAGAATCCAAAAAGACTAATGTTTAACTAACCTAAGCATAGCTATTCACGAGCTTCACGCTTCTTCAAATACCAAGGACTCATGACACAAGCTTCACATACACTTTTTCAAATACAAAGGACTCGTAAGAAATCTTTTTAATTGAATGAAACGTTTTTAATATTATTTGAATAAAGTTGTCAATCATTTAGTGGTGAGGACGAGGTTCTTATCATTTAGTGGTAAGGACAAGGTTCTTCTTCATTGTTGGAAAAGTTCAACAATGACATTTTTCAACCGTCACAAAACGGTTTTCAAATATCTACTTATTGCAACCCTAAAATCCTGAAAGAAAATAAAGACTTCTTTTCCAAAAAAAAAAAAAGAGAAAAAAAAAGTTTGAAACCAGTTGTAACTTTTTTTTTGTTACTTATGATGGCCACCTATGGGTTGGCTTTGGTCCAARGAGGTTAGAGTTAATTTGAGAGACAATAAGTTCAAACCCTATGATGACCACTTACCTTAAAAACTAATTCTTATCTGTTTTCTGACACCAAATATTGTATAGTTAGGCGGTTGCAAATCTTTTTTTCGATTTTTCGTGACATTTATGAAATGTCATAAAATATGTAAGAATTCGTCAATCATCGTTTTTTCAGCCAAAATCGTGCTTCAACCATTTTTCAGGGGAGAGATATAATTACCAGCTTCACCCTTAGTCCAAATGTTATATTTGGTTATTTATTTTTTGTCAATCGTTTCCACCCACATGAGCAAGTCAAAAAGATTGAGAAACATATTTAGTTCAATTAGACTACTCTGTTGTTTCGGTAAATTTTCTAAATCTTTCGATGATTATTGATTCATTGCTATAGGTATCAAAGAAATCATCTTCACAATCATTTAATCCGAAAACTATAATCCTATCCTTTAATTACACATGCCAGTATAATTAAAGAAAGCATCATAGAAAAATAGATCACATCCCACTAGTATTTCAAGAACTGCCTAAGATTACCATTTACTTTATAAGTTTTTTTTTTTTTTTGAAACTTTGTAGGTTAAAGTTACTTGGCCATGCAAATATATGAGCAAAGAGAACTTAGCAGTCAACTTTTCAACAGGTATGCCTCATGTATGCCCATAATCCTTTCTTTTTATCATTATTATATTAACTTTATTAGCTATCGTGTCAACTATTTTTATTAAATATGTCATATCGTAAGTTATCTGTTAAATTACTAACGAAAAAATTTGGACTAAAATTTAATCTTTTCATTATCTGCTGGGTTCAATAGTACGATTTTGAAATTTAGAGACGAGGAGATATGTTGTCCAAAATTTAAAGATAAAAAAGGTTACTTATCGTATTTATTTTTATGCTATTTTTTAACATGCCTCCTTTTTTAGTTTGGGTAAAGAATTAAATTATTGATTATGTAGATGATAATAGATGTTTGTACTTGCCTCCGTTTTTTCTTTTTTCTTTTTTTTAGTTTGGGTAAATAATTAAACTATCGACTTTCAAAATGATAATATCTAGATATTTTATCTACTAAACTATACCCAAATTATTGACAAACATTTTTTTCAAAGCTGAATTATAAATAACAATCATACTTCTCCTTCGTTTTTACAAAATTATATCAAATAAAACTTTCAAAGTAATGACATAATTTAAATCAAACTTTCGAGAGTTGAAACTGGAGGAGGAGCTCGAATCTTCAACCTCACATGTTATTTGAACTAAAAATACAAATACAAATTTGCAGTTTAAATTTCAAAATAAGAATCTTAGAACTAAATTAGATGGAGGGAAAAAAAAGTTGACATTAACAAAATTTATGCAAAGGGGGAAAAACTATTAAAACAAGATTAGATGATACGTTCAAAAAAAAAAAGATTRGATTATACGTAAATGTAAATTAAAAGACAAATTTGTATAAATTTTATACAAAATATGAATAATTCTATCAAATACAAGCAAATTATATGAAAATTGCAATCGACGACAAAAATACTAATTCTTAAAAATGACAGTACTTTTATTTTTTATTTTTTATTATATATATATATATATATATTCTTTATCGTATAATTGCAAAAAGATTTACTAATAATTCAAATTATTAAACAATAACCAATACCAACACTAAACACATATAACATCCCAAAAATTAAGAAATGAATAACAGAATAATATTAAAAAACTGTTCAACAAAAAACCAAATCAAATTGAAAAAGCCAATTCTAATTAACAAGTGTTGTACCATATAAATAACAAATAAATAAAAATAATTCAAGTAAAAGTAGTTTTTTTTTTTTTTTAAGTTGGAGTAACAAAACCTCCATTGTGTTGAAGTTGAAGATAACCAGAAAACTGAATGAAAACAGCAACACCCATTAAAGCCATACCAATGAGAAACCCACTGGCCATGGCTCCACAAATAATTAGCTTTCCAATTCCCACAATTTCTCTCCTCTCTTTTTCATCTTCCTTCTCTTCCACCACACACTCATAAAACTCCCCACCATCTCCATCATCCCCTTCCAAACAACTCTTTGCCTCGTCCTCGTTTTCGTTCTCGTCGTTTAGGCATGACTCGGTGCACGAGCAAGCAGACGAATCGTCGACATGGTCGAGAAAGTAGTCCTCCCCCTCCCCCAAGTCTCGGAAGGCGGCTTCGAGTTGCGAGAGGCGGCGGGCAATGTGGCTCAAATGTCGAGGCTCGGTCGGGCAGGAGGCGGCCTCGGCGGAGAGGAGATTGGCCATGAAAACAAACTTCTGTTGGATTTCTTGGGAGAGAGTTGAGGTTGGAGTTTGGGAGAGGGCATGGTGGAGTTGAAGTTCGAGTTCTTCAAGTTTCTTGTGGAGAATTGAGAATGTTTTTGGCATTTTTGTTTGGGGTTTTTGGGAAAAGGGAATTAATTTAATTAGTTGATTTAATTGGAGGATACAGTTATAGGCGTTTTGGGGAGGGGATGTGATGGTGAAGGGGTACGTGACAGTTGATACTTTTCGGTTACTCCATCGTTTAGTGTGTAAATTATATATAATATAATTAATGACTATGGCCGGTCTTCATAAATTTTATTGGCATTATGTCATTAATTTTTCTAGCGTATGGGAGATATATGTCAATTACCGTTGAGGAATTTCTCACTCTAGCTCTGGCATATTAATTRGGTTACATAATAACTATCTTGTATTGTTATATGGTTATATAATATATACCTCTTTGTAAGTCATATAGGTGGTACTTTTTTTCCAACTAAGAATTTTCTTTTTCCGACTAACATTATATAATATATACCTTGTACAGTATGATGAACATATACCCGTCAAATACCTTTTATTGTTATATACTAAAATATTATGTTATATAATATATACCTCATATATCCAAAATATATTCCATATTAACTTCGTACCTATATGTAATATATAACCAGCATATTGTGCTTAAAAGAAAATATATAACGAACATATACTCCATAAAATTTGGGGATTTGGGGTTTATTCATCGTTTACATGGTACCAAACCAAGAAATTAAATACAAAAATTTGATTTAATTAAAAGAGGAAAAAATAAAATTTTATCCTCTTCTTTTCTTCCTTAGCCACCCCTCACTCATGTTTGCTCAGCCGAACACCCCCTCCCTCAGCATCTTCTCCGACGAACCTTTCCTCCACGTACGGTGGCACATGACCAAACCCACGACCCAGAGAAATGGGTACAATGGAGGGAGGGAGAGAGAAAGTGAGAGGTATCTAGGGGGAGAGAAAGAAAGTGAGAGGTATCTAGGAGAAAGAAGTTAGGATTTCAAGAATTTTGGGTAAAATCGTATAGGGGACGCTGCTGTTCATTCTTTGTAATTTTCTTTTTTTTATTAAGAACATTCRAATATAGGTAGTTTGGTAGTTGTTTTTAAAATTTAGCTCTCTTTTTTTTGTCAAACATTTAATAGTACATTCTAAAAGTCAACTAAGGGGCACTCTCAGCTCGAGCTCGACCGTTCATCAAGACTGAAAGATATAAGCATGCACGCCGATTTCCAAGCTCGAAAAAATTGAACAAGTTTAACCTTGATAAAGTTGAATTGCCTGATGGATTGAACTCAATAACTCCTGGAAAATGCATGGGCTAAGCTTTCTCACTTGAGCTTAATTATATTTCAACATGTGAAAGAATCTGAATTATGACTTTCACATTATCATCATCAAATCTTAGTTACCAAACATCTCAAAATCAAGTGCTTGCACACCAAAAAAAAAAAAAAAAAAAWGTCATCAACCACCCACAGTAACACAAATTTATCCAAATTGCGTCTGTTAAATGATACTTGTGATGCAATTAGCATCACTTTATTTTTTTCTGTCTTCCCATCTGATAACTGCAATAACTCTAGGCTACAAAGAGATCTTAGAAAAAATTACTCCGATATAGGTAAAAGCAATATGAAACCGCATCTAATGCTATCAATAAACACAATTATATAAATCGCTATGTACAATGGCCGAGTCCTCCATTTATTATTATGGTGGTTTTTGTCAAGATGTAGAGACATATACAAAGTATTTTGGGGTGCGAGGCGGGGTCGGGGATGCAATGACCAGCATCTCGGGGTAAGAGAATGAGAGAGTTTCACATTCATACATTTATCTCTTGAAACTGAGCTGGATACAATTGGCTATTTGAAAGCATATATAAGTTTAATATTTAAGAGGAGAAAAAAAAATAAGATCAGAAACAGAGATAAAGAAAGATAAGAAAACGTATGTCTGTTAATTTAACCAACRCGATTACCTATCTCCTCCTTGAGATTTGGTTACCTGGGGAGGGTAGGATCCAAARGTATCATATGAGGCACGAGAAAACAAAGATCCGACTGGATTGGTAATCACATTTGAAGAAGATTATTCACAGTGACGGTGACAGAATTAGTACGCTGCAAATCCTGCAAAATGGGGGATTCCTCTAAAGCATTTAGAAAGATGTGGAAAAAAGATATTGCAAAAATTGTCTTACTATGAATATAAACCAGTCTTGAGCCTGACAAATTATTTATAAAACAGATTATGATTGAAAATAAATACAGAAGAAAGAAATCGAGGTTGCATCAAAATAATATTAGTTCCTACAACAACCTAGTACAGTATAATTGTCAATTACTACAATATGAATATGAAATAAGATGAAGTTCTAGGGGCAGGACTGGAACAAATGATTACCAGTGTAATGAAACTAATTATATTTCTCAAKAAAGAGCAAGCTTTGAAATATTTCGAGAGTTACTGCCTTTATGTGAAACACACCTTATAAATACTTCTAAAAAGAATAGTGAATACTTTCCTAAAGGACATTAAAGTGTGTTTGATTATTTTTTAGAACACCATGAAAATTAGAAAGCTATTTTTCTTAACGAATAGTATGCTTAGAAATTTTAAACAGACATCCAAACACATAACAAGTTTCCTCCATCTGCAGAATCCAAGCTTAACCAAACACCCACAAGGTGAATAGAGAATCTCAAACTTTTAAGCTAGGATGGTGAAAGGGGCAGGAAGAAAGAAGCATAGACATGTAGTAGAGACAACACGGATAAGGTGGAACGTCATTATCTAAAAATCTAATACATCGACACAGGAAGGACAAGTTTACTAAAATATACATTTTCTAAAATATATTTGATTATTTTAATATATTTCAAGGCTGAAATTTTGCCTGTCTTGCAAAGTTTCCTACGAAAAGTAATCATAAGGTGGAACATCATTATCTAAAAATCTAATACATCGACAAAGGACAGACAAGTTTACTAAAATATACATTTTCTAAAATATATTTGATTATTTGAATATATTTCAAAGCTGAAATTTTGTCTTAACTTGCGAAGTTTCCTATGAAAAGTAATCAAATATGCTCGAAGAGGTTAAAGAAACTAGTTACCTCTTCAGCTATATCTAACGATATAGTACCTTATATCAAAATATTCAAAAAAACATCAAAACAAACTCACTAAATTTCTAATGCCATCCTACATAAACAATGAAACTGTCACTAACACTAATGCATTTGTGYGCTTAGAATTAAGTTCAATACTTCTCACTCTCAAAATTAAGGTTAAATTATAAATTTAGTCAGTTATATCTAGTTAGTTCTTAAATTTTAAGAAGTTTCAGTTGTCATCGTAGCAAAAATCATTAATTGTCGTGACATACCTATCACAAATATTGACAAATTTGGCAATGATGTGGTAGAGAGATTAGACAGAAAAAGTGGACCACTAGACCAAATAAGTGGTACAAGTCACATTCACATACCCTCTTTCCGATATCAAATCTCCCTTTAGATCATAACATTCTATTTTGTACCGCTGTCCACTTCTTTCTATCATTTGTCTCCTACCACGTCATCATTTAGTTAACAAACATACATAATTGAAACTTTTGAAAGTTTCAAAACTAAATCGACACAACCACCAAAGTTTGGGGGAATATATTTGTCATTTAACCCAAAATTCATTATTTTTCTCCTATATTTCTTCTTGCGTCCATTACATTGCTTTAGTTTTAAGTCTCTAATAATTGTTTACAACTTTATGTTCACATTGCCATACACATGTCAATTATGCTTGCCAAGTGTCCAACCTGTATCTAATTTGTTTTACAAGTGTTCGACATGTGTTTGTGGTGCYTAACAAGTGATCAATACTTGACAATAAGTATTTGGAATATCCAAGTGTCGGATACATGCACATACATGGATACACCATCCAAAATAAGTTTCCTTGCTTCACAGGGGAGGGAGCATCAAGGAAACTAATAAATTTCATGTAATATTACAACCTACAACCATAAGCCAGAAGAATATTCAAATTACCTGGAAAATTAACTCATCAGGGACATGAGGCAGAACTTCTCGTACTGTCTCTGCCATGGCAAGTATATTGGCTAAACTGTCATTTGGAGCACGTGGCACATTCATATTTAAACCACCCATACTACCAGGATGTCTTCCAACACCACCTCGAGGAACTTGTGAACCACCAGGAACTACCTGTGGGGGATTAATMGGCCAAAGGCCCCAAGCAGAATCTTCAATGGATGTCTGGGCATAAGTTTCACCAACAGATGCAAGATGTCTCATCATCATCTGAACTCTACCCAATCCAACAGATCTAGCTGCATTTGATGGACCAGCCCCATCCACGCTCTGGCTAGCCCAATCATGCAACCAACTTGGATCAAGACTGGTGCTTCTATAAAATAAGAGGGAGAAAATACAAAAAAATAGTAAAGAATAAATTTATTCGAGGTGCTTTTTCCACAACAACTGATGAACAGGAAACCAATATGGTAGCTTCTCTCAACTCGTACATACATCAAGTTTTCAAGTAGCTCCGAAGTCCGACCATTTCATAGCTTAGCACTCGACTATTATCCATTAAATTAAACTGCATATATAATACTTTTAAGTATTGTATTTTCAGTTTGAAGAAGGGGATTTTATTGAAGARTCACATGACGAGATATTCGGCACCGTTTTTTGAAAAGGGTGGTCTTATTGAAAATGGATAAGGTCCTACTTCATACACTTTTGTTTCAAGCCTCGTGTCTAAAAGCATTTAGGATATTGCAAAAAGGAACTTTTTCATTTTTTTTGAAGTGTGGGCTTTCACTTATGACAACAAAACCAAAGTCATAGTTTGGTGGCCTTGATATTATTGTTAATGATCCTTTGATCAATCAGAAGTTTTTTTTGGACAAGATACGAACTTTTCATTGATATATGAAAATGAACAAAATTGTTCAAAGATACAAACTTCCAAACAAAATCGGTCAGTCAGAAGTTTTAATTCATCTATTTTGTTGGGACTTCTTAAACTCGAGCCCATCATCTCTCAGTGATTTACATTGGTTCAAAAAGAAGCTAATTTCTTTTCTGGTTCTTAGAATTATTATGGKTTAAGGATAATATGGCTCAAATTTGGTTGACCTTTCTGAAGATTTCAGTTCGTTCAAGTTTTTTTCCCTTTCTTTTTTTAAATTTAAGAAACTGAGAAATATTTCATTATCAAAAGCAGCTAATACAAGAAAGGGGAAAGGGCAATCCCCTAGAAGCCAAAGGTTACAAAAAAGAACTCCAATTGGCAGTGATATTCACAAAGCTGAATTTACAAAACTCTCCGAGAAGATATCACATAGAAGCAAAAATTTGGACAAGATCCCAAAAGCCCTAAATGTCACTTCAATGCCTTTGAAAACTCTCTGTTTCAAATGAAAGTCTCCAAAGGGTAGCTGAAACACGAGAGAACCAAGGCTTTTCTTTTGAAAGGAGAACCAACTACAAAGAATCCTTACAACCTTTGGGCACCAAAACTTAAGCCAAAAATCTTGAGGATTTCGGACCACACAAAATCTTGAGCTCGGTCAAGTTTTACAAAGCGTTTTTGAATGAGCTCTCAAAGGGGATCCATCCCTTCATGGCATTATAAATTCAACCAATGGATTTTTT